TTCTTCACAGATGAGAAATCTGATTCGTCCCTTCCACTCTATGTGCTCCCACTCTATTCTTTGCTAGCACCAGAGAAACAAGCAAAGGTAAAGAATTTGTTGTCATAATAAGTAAACGATCCTTATAGATATGTGTGATTGTTGTCTAAAGTCACATATGCTTTGTGAGTTACAATGTGCATTTTGGACTGCCATCACTGGGCGCACTTGAATGTCCCAGTGGGTGAGTTGGGATGGGATCAGAGCTGGCCTTGTTTGGGCTGGGATCTCCTTTATGTGCCAGTTCAGCAGGTTGGGAGAGATAAAGAGTGACAGTCCTGCAGCATGGTAAAGTGAGTCCAAATTAGATCCCATTGCCAACAGGCAGTTACTCTTACATTTCCTCTTGAGTTTTGGAGTATGTCTAAATACAACTCCACACTGGTGTCTGCTCCACCTGGAGGCCCTGTGGGTGTTTCTGAGGGATTAAATGAGCTGGATAGAACGCTCCAGAGCTGGAGACAAAGTGTTAAGTCTTTGGTCTCACTCTTGGGTTTCCCCTGCAATGCCATATGCTTGGTCATCCCTTTGCAACCCATCCAAGTTGGCTGCCTGTCTCTTTCTGTTGTTGGCCGTGCATTTCACATGCCCATCTGTTTCTTGTAGGTATTCAGGCCTCCTCCTCCTGGCACGAGACTGTGTGTTGTAGCCACCAACGTGGCTGAAACATCTCTTACCATCCCAGGCATCAAATACGTGGTTGATTGTGGAAAGGTCAAGAAACGTTTCTATGACAAAATTACTGGGGTTTCATCTTTCAGAATCACTTGGATATCTCAGGCTTCAGCCAACCAGCGGGCAGGCCGGGCTGGCCGGACGGAGCCAGGGCACTGTTACAGGTTAGCTGCCTGCTGGGGAGAGGGTTAGGAGGAGCAAAAAGCCCAGTGAGTGGCAGTGTGAATTGGGTGGCTTCTCTCGTCCTGCTGCCCCTTTCACAAGGACCTAGTGGTGCTTGAAACCCGTTGGTTTTGTCTGCTCTTCATTCAAATAGGAGAGGTGAAGCCAAACGTGGACTGTCACTGGTGATGTTGGTTTGACAGTTTGACTTCTTGGGGGCCTTTCTTTTGCTGAAAACTCATTGGGGTGGCCAAAACAGCATGGATCCCACTCCAAGCCAAGTCACCTTTTTGTGACTAATGCAGTATGCCCCAACCACGGAAATAATTACATGGTTATCTAAATAGCACCAACAGCTGCCTGTTTTATAAATCCCTTGCATATCTTTTGAGTTAAGATTTATTCTAAGTCTCTAAGCAGCATTTCTGGTTCACTAGGTTATACTCCTCAGCAGTCTTCATGGACTTTGAGAAATTTTCTGCTCCGGAAATAATAAAGCGACCGGTAGAAGACTTGATTCTGCAAATGAAGGCATTAAATATAGAAAAGGTGAGGTGTAAATTTCCTTTGTACTACAGTGCTCTTTAAAGTGGCTGCCCCTTGGAGCTGGAGTCACAAAATAGATCTGTTATCATCGTCGCTTGAGGCTGTGCCTTGTGTTAGGAATTAGGATGCTGGGACTTGATTTTGGTTCTGTGAATCACAGAAGCCTGTATGAATCCTACCGGGCCTTAACAGATGTGTTTGTTCAGGTCATAAGAGCTTTCTTATATTTTTAGTAGCAAAAAAGCCCTGTCCAAACAGGGGTTGTGTTTTGGAGGTACTTGAGCACTCTCAGAAAGCACAATACTTACGAGTCAGACCTTAAAGCAGCCCACCCTAGGCGGTGCCTGGAGTCAGTGGCAGCTCAGGGTGACGCTGGTATTCCTGTTTCCTAATGTTTTTGTTCCAAGCATTTCCTCCCATTATATGTCCTTTCCTCTTGCTCCTGGCAAACATCCTAACTGTTTTTATGTGGTGTGTATCCAGAGGGAAGGGTTCTGTTCCCTTCCAGGACTTCTTACTGCATTCAGACTCTGTTTTTCAGTGGGAGCTATATCAGTGATGTACTGAGAAGTATTTTCCCTCGCTGTCCATAGGTAATCAACTTCCCATTCCCAACACCACCTCCAACAGAAGCACTTGCAGCAGCTGAGGAGTTGCTGATAGCCCTGGGTGCCTTAAAGGAACCCCCTATGACAGGAAGGTAACATCTGTGGTCCCCCACGAATTCCCTCTTAGTGCTGCTGCACAGACTCCACTATCAAGGCAGTGGCACTGCTGTCCTCCCGCCAGTTTTCCATCTCAGCCATGCATTTGAGGATGTGCTGGCAGAGACTGTCAGCATTTTAACAGTCTCAGGTTTACCTTTGTGTGTTTTATTGGTCCCTGGGTGTGTTTGGGCACAGAAAGACTGTGCTAGCAGTGTGCCATTCAGGGCAAGGGGGAGCTGCATGAGGAAAAGGAATCTTTCCCCCAGCCTTTGGGACCAGCACATAACAAAATCAGAGAAAACACATGAAATGAATGGGGCTTCTAAAACCAGAAACACAAACTCATTCTAATGCAGAAGTCACTACATTACATCACTTTTCCTCCCCCAGGCTGAAGCAGCAGCTGGCAGCAAAGCTGAGTTGCCCTATTAGTCCCCTGGGGAGAATAATGGCCACATTTCCTGTTGCCCCCCGCTATGCAAAGATGTTGGCATTGAGCAGGCAGCAGGGCTGCCTGCCCTACACCATCACCATAGTGTCTGCAATGACTGTGCGGGAGCTTTTTGAGGAGTTAGACAGGTGAGTGACTTAACCTGACATCACTTGTCACAGCTGATGTCTCTCTTACGTTGAGGCCCTTCTGCACCTAAGCACAATGTTCATTTATGCTGTTTTGTGTTTCTTTTAGGCCAGCAGTAAGTGAGGAAGAGGCAGCAAAGCTGAAGGGGAAGAAAGCCAGGTTTTTACAGATGCAAAGGATCTGGGCTGGGCAGGGGCCCATGCAAAAGCTTGGAGACCTGATGGTGATGTTAGGTATTGCAGTGACTTCCCTGTACTGTTAACTGCCGTTCTGTCCTCCTCCCTCTTAGCCTTATACAAGCAAAGGCAGCCTCATGCTGCAGGACTGAGCCCAGCAGTACATATTCTGGACTGTTCTCTGGGCATTCTGCCAGTGTCCCAGGCTAATGACAAATGGGAACTGTGATATGCATGTGTTGACTATGACACCACTGTCCCACAGTTGGTTTCCTTTGCAGAACTGATTGTCTAAGTAATTTCTCCCCCTGACTTCACTTCCAGGAGCAGTGGGGGCCTGTGAGTACGCTGGGTGCACCCAGAAATTCTGTGAAGAAAATGGGCTCCGATACAAAGCCATGCTGGAAATCCGGCGCTTGAGAGGACAGCTGACAACAGCAGGTAAAGGGGTTTGAGAGGAGCCACCTTGTTTATTCTCTTTTGAGGGGTGACAAATCAACGGGGCTGTTTGTTGCAACCTTTAGTTTGCTATTGAATCTTAACTCCTCTTTCCCCCCCCCCCCCCAACAGTGAACTCAGTCTGCACTGATGCTGGTCTCTTTGTTGATCCAAAGATGAAGCCCCCAACAGAAGCTCAAGCAACTTACTTGAGGCAGATTGTCCTGGCTGGGCTAGGGGATCACGTTGCCCGAAGAGTTCAGGCAGAAGAGCTCCTGGATGACAAGTGGAAAAATGCCTATAAGGTAAATAGCTTGAATTGACTGAATTCCTCTTCCCCTGTGTGGTAGAAAGACACTCCTGGGCTTATGGCTGCATACAGCAATGGGGCTGCATGTGCTGGCTTTCTACAGCCACTCATGGAATCTAAGTTTCCAGTGTTGCAATTTCCCAGTCCTCAGGTAGGAATTGTTATAGAGCCAAGAACTAGCATTAGTCCGACGTGCAAAGTGCTTGATGTCTCCTGAGAAGGTGATGTAGAAAATGATGGGGTTGTTAAAATCCTCCATCACTTAAGGAAACCGTATAAAGGTACATCTAAGAGAGACTAAAATTGGATGCAATCAAGAGATTGGATTGCCAGTAACTCATCTTATTCTGCTTCAATCTTCTTGTGCTTTCTTAAAGACTGCTCTCCTGGAAGACCCCGTGTTCATCCATCCAAGCTCAGTCCTCTTCAAACAGCTCCCAGAGTTCGTGGTGTATCAGGAAATTGTTGAGACTACAAAGCTGTATATGAAAGGTGAGGCTGCTGCAGTCCCTGCTTGTTCTGCAGGTGTGGGGAGGAATTCAGAAGTGCCTTAGGCAGAATGTTTCCCTTGAGGCATTCTGCTTACACAGTGGTCATGCCTCTGGGGATTTGGATCCTTATGGTTTCTAGGTCTGGATCAGGGGATAAATTGGCCTGGTTTATTCTTTGTCCAGCGGAACTGGCTGGAGCAAAGTTCAGCTTCTGAAATAGCTGCTCTGCTCCAGCCCTGTCAGCAGTAGCTCCCTATTGATGGTGTCTGAACAAGGACAATAAAGAGTTGACTTGAAAAATGAGATCCAAGTGAATGTGTGAAGATGAGATTCTGCAATGCACTGTATTCACTCAGTGAGTGGTGGCCCTTGGCAGCAAGCCTGCATTCAGGTGTGTGTTTTCCCTTCCTAAGGTGTGTCTGCAGTCGAGCCTGAGTGGATTCCAGCTCTGTTGCCACCGTACTGCCACTTTGGGAAGCCTCTGGAAAATCCTCCTCCATCTTACTGCCCTGAAACAGGCCGAGTTCGGTGTCACAGACCAAGTGTCTTTCGTAAGTGCCTTGAGAAGTGTCATTCAGTAGTTCTATATAGTTATATAGAGTATATGTAGTTATTGTAATGCTGCTTTTAGCAAGACTCTCAGCAGACCAGAAAGGTCAAGCTCAGCTTGGACTGGTCAGAGAGCTTAACCATGGTTTGAGTAACTCCATGGGATTTGTAGCATCTAAATATCAGCATCTCTCCCTGTGAGGGAGCAATGCTGGCTGGGTGGTGGCAGTACCCTCCCCACTTAGCATCTTTGTTGCACATCTCCCTTGGCTAGGGACCCTCCTTTTTGAGCGTTTAAGGGACTCAGTGTGATCCTTCTTTCCAGACCGAGTTAGCTGGGAGCTCCCTGCTGTGGAAGTTGATTACCCAGAAGGTATTGATCGTTACAAATACTTTGCCAGGTTCCTGCTTGAAGGGAAGGTGAGCATGTTCCACCTGCTTCCTTGGTGTAATCAGTAAGGTTTTAGCCCAGTTTTTGGAGATGATGACCCTTGTGACTTGTTTCTTTGTCTGCATGCCCATTCTTCATAACTTGCTGGTGGCTGCAGGAGTTTGGTGCAGTTGTGGAATGGGGAAGATATCCTTAAAATATAAAGCAGCATGAAAATCATCATCTGGGTGAAAGAGACTCACAAATTTAAGTCCTGGTTTTCAGAGGAAAAAAGCTATAGCTCCTGTCTTTGTCCATTCTGAGACTCAAGGGTCACCTAGCAAGCCAGGACAAGATTTGTATGGTGCCATGGATGGGAGAGAGATGGTAATAGAGAATATGGGATGGATGTCTATAGTTGTACAAGTTCATTAATGGTTGTTTCCACAGAACAATTAATTTACCGTGTTCATTATGTACTTGTTATAACGAATCTTCCAGGTTATTAAGAAGTTGAAGTCTTATAGCCAGTGTCTGCTGTCCAGTCCCCTCATAATGCTGAAGACATGGGCCAAGTAAGTTGATAAAGTTAAGTTTGGCTCCACCAAACACGTTTAACTTCCTTTAAAACGAAAGAAAATGAATGCTGGGAGGGGTGTCCTCGATAGGGATCTTGGCTGCAGCTGCAGGAGAGGAAAATGAGTTTTCTTACCAAGAAAAACTATGTCTCAAGAGAGCTGGGTGGTTGTGAGGGCAGTGTGGAAGCGCACACACAGCCTGCTGGTCACGCTGACCTCTGCGGGCTGCTTCACGCACATAAATTGCTCACACATGGACACAACTGCTTTCCTTGCTTTTCTTTGTGCTTTGGCCAATTGCATTTGGTTTATCTCTTTCCAGAGACATGTTTCCAACAGACCATATTTTTCTTGATGACATTTACAGAACAATGAGCCTCAAAAGAACTGTCAGCTATTGTTTCCCCTGTGTCCCCCTTGTGAAAGCTCTCTTCCTTACCAAAATGAGCTTTCTCTGAGTTGTGATGGGGCTGAGAGATGCAAAGATTGGGAAAGGCTTTCTTAAAAGTGACTCATCTCATCCGAGGGTCCTACAATTGCAAAGTTATTCCCTAGTGTAGTCAGTTCCGAGTGCAGCATGGGACCTGTTGGTTCCTTTTTGCTCCCCCATGTGCTATGCAGCTGCATGCTGCCAGCAAGAAGAGCAACCTGCTGCTCTATTTAACAACAGAAAGTTGTAGTAGGGGGAATAAACTTATTTCTAGTGAATTTTGTGTTTCTGTAACTGTATTTAGCCCTTTAAAAACCACTAGGAGTATGAATTCAGAAAGGTAAGCTGAATGCTGGAATACTTTGCTGAACTGTGCTAATGAACTTTGTTTTAATGTACTGTTTTATTTTGGTAGACTTCAGCCCAGGACAGAAGCCCTCCTGCAGGCTCTAGTGGCAGAAAACTGTGATAATCGTGGTGCTTTACTGGCTGCATGGAAGAGAAATCCTAAATGTAAGTGTTCTGCTTGCTTAATTACTGGTCATATCAGTGCAGGTTTTGTAGTGCCACCAACACTGTTGAATTATAACTAAAAAAATGGATGATCTCACTTGATAATCTCCAAATATCTGCTGTTTTCTTACCAGAATCAGCAATGCTGTGTGTCTTGGTTCTGGTGAAGGACTGGAGTGGCTTGTACTTCAGAAAGTACATCGTTTTAAGATGATTTTTTCCCTGTAGTTCCAACAACAGTTAGAGTGTTTGGTTTGTGCTTCTAAAGAATCACACTCTGATGGTACTGTCAGTGGGTGCAGGGAAAGGTTCTTCCAGGTAAAATGGATTTTGTTCAGTTTTAGGGTACAGATTGTGAGAGTTCTTCATGGAAGCAGCAGCAAAGTGATGCGGTGATGGCTTTCACAGTCATTCTCCCACACTTGGCACTTCTATATCTGCATGCAGGTCCCCAAGCTGCAGCAGTGATAGAAGGTTGGTTCTTGCTGTCAGCCTGTGATGCTGCAGGACTTCGTCTTTCCAGCAGAACCACTCCAGTCCCTGTACTCCGCAGCCATGTAATTGCTCCCCTCTCTCCTTCCAGATTTGCTCACAGCCTATCGTCAGTGGATCCCCGAAGCCTTGCATGATGATCTAGCCCAAAAGTGGCCACCAGTAGCACAGTGAAGTGTCTGACTTCTTCATGGACCCTTCTCCAAGACGTTTTGGGAGCTTGGGTTTCCTTGGAAATCTGCCGACACAGATGGACTTGCTAACTGTTAGCAGTAGCTTTCTGTAAGCAAACTGAGTGTTGGTCTGGTTTTCTAGGAAGCCCTCTGTGTTTCCAGAAGCCCTACCAGTGGTTTTGCTGGTATTTTGTAATATTGATGTTGGATAATTTTATCCATTGCATTTTACAGATTGTTTTTTTTTATCTGAAGCTTCTCTTTGGACTATATTAGTCACATGGACTATAATAAATGTGTATAGTTCTTGGGCTGGATGGGAGAAATGTTTTCAATGCCAGATACTGCAATAAGGGGTATTCCAGACCTTGGCAGTGACAGCAGATCCAGCCCTAGGCTGAACGTTTGGTCCTCGTGGTGGGTTGACCTTGCCCAGCCCCTTAGGTTCACGCATCCCCTGTCCCTCCTGCGTGACAGGAAGCACAAAAGTGAGAAAACTCGTGGGTAGAGATGAAGATGGTTTAATTAGTGAAGGGAAGACGAAGAATCCCAGTGATGTCAAGGCGCTCAGCACCTCCTACACGGTGTCCCCTTCCAGCATCTTGTCCACCCACAGCCACCTCACAGAGGGGAAAAGAGAAAGCCTTGACATTGTGCAAGTACTGCTCAGCAACAGCCCGAACACTCGCGTGTTATCAACACTGTTAGTCGCAAACCCAAAACACAGCAGCAAGGGGCTGCTATGACAAAGTCCCAGTGTGCTCCTAATGCTTTTCCTGCTTCTCAAGGAGTTTGCAGTGAATCCAGAGTCTTCATTAATCTTGCTTTCAGTAATTCTGGTTTCAAATCTCTCCTCATCCCTGGGTTGCTGCTGCAAGCACTTTTATTTCCTGGTGCCTTTGCTCTGCCACATGCTTTGCCAGTTCTGAGGAGCTGGGACATCTGCCCCCACGTTCTGGAGGAAGCTGGTAAAACCCAACCCCAGAAGGGGCTGGATGTGTGCTCCCACTACGCCCTTGCACTTCAGACCAGGACACAAGGTTTAAAAATACCTAATGGTGACGAAAGCAGCTTTTGTTTCTGAGCAAGAAGGAAAATAGCCTGGTACAGCTGGGTATTTATCATGTAAGTGTTGCAATGGAGTAGTGTTTAGCAGCAACCATAGGCACGAGGGTGCTGTGAACTGACTGGGCTCCTTTCTTTAGCACGAATCGCAGCTGTGATTACGGGAAGGAAGAAAGAAAAGGACAACACCGAGCCTCTTAACGAATGATGGCTCCTTTGGGTAAACGGGATGAAAGGAATCAAAAACCACAACAAAACGAGTGGAGATGCCGGGGATTGAACCCGGGGCCTCATACATGCAAAGCATGCGCTCTACCACTGAGCTACATCCCCTTATTGTACCCCGGTTTCCCGCACAGGAATACATACGCGGTGCAGCCGCACGTCGGGCCCAGCGAGACCGCCGCTCCGCTCCTCTCAGCCCAGCACCGAGCTCCAGCGCCCGCAGGACAGGGCCGGGGCTTGCGGCGACCGTGTCCTTATAGCGCAAGGCCTGAAAGCCGCGTTTGTGCCTGTCCTCGTTAGTATAGTGGTGAGTATCCCCGCCTGTCACGCGGGAGACCGGGGTTCGATTCCCCGACGGGGAGGTCCGTTACTTTTGTTCTCCGCGCCTGCTACGCCGGCGTGGAACCGAGGCCTGCAGGCGAGCGGCCGCGCACATCCCGCAGCGAGCACGGTATGGGCCCAGAGCTGCTTTTTATGCAGGTGAAGGGGAGCGGAGCCCGCCGCTCCTCCCAGGGTGCGTTCTGGGCGCCCCGCTGCCACCGCTGCTGCCGGTGTCCCCGCCCTGCGGGGTGCGAAGCAGTGCGGTGGAAGAGGTGGGCAGCGGCTGGGCCCACGGGCACCACTGTCACCTGTTACCACGGTAACACCACGGGTGCGCTGGGCGGGGTCCTATCCGCCGTCAGCGGGCGGGTGTGTGCGCGCCGAAATAGCTCAGTTGGGAGAGCGTTAGACTGAAGATCTAAAGGTCCCTGGTTCGATCCCGGGTTTCGGCAGAACTCCTTTTCTTTCGTCCCGCCGGTGACAGCGGGTCCTTTTGCCGCCGAGCGGCCCCAGCGAGAGGGTTCTGTGCTGAACACCTCCGCGGGCGCTCACGCGTGTGGGAGCATTGCGCGGTAGAACGCTGTTCCCTGCGGGGAGCGCTGAGCGGGGATGGGCCGGCGCGTATGGAGTCCAGGTTATGAGCCGTCCTCGTTAGTATAGTGGTGAGTATCCCCGCCTGTCACGCGGGAGACCGGGGTTCGATTCCCCGACGGGGAGGTTGCGGTTTTTATTTTGGTTTATTTCCCAATTTCGTGACGGAATTTTCTGATTTCCGGAGGAAAAATAAAACGAACCCACGTGTGTGTGTGTGCGAACGCAGAGTGCTCCCGTACTGCTAAGAACTACCTGAGGTTTACACACAGCTCCCGTTTTACCCTGCGCAGCAACGGCGGGTGTGCGGCCCCGGAGCGGGCAAAGGTGGGCGCCAGGCAGAGACACAGCGCCGGGCGTGGGGATGTAGCTCAGCGGTAGAGCGCATGCTTTGCATGTATGAGGTCCCGGGTTCAATCCCCGGCATCTCCACCTTTTTTTTCCTGCCTCATTTATTCTCTGTCTTATCCCTGTGATCTGTTTTACCCAGGGTTAAAGTTGCTGGGTCACACGTAACACTAAATTGCACTGTTGCTGCCCCAAAAGCCTGTTTTTTCTCACTTGTTTCTCGTCAGGACTACACAAACACAATTCTTGTGTCTCTCCAGGTAGCTCATTGCCACACTAAGGCCCTGCAGAGCCAGAGCAGCCCAAAAGGAAGAAGGGCAGCCCCTTGCAGCCTGACCTGGCTCCGCTTGAAGCAGGTTGGAGAAGCTCTTGGGAAACAACAGAAACCAAAGCCCATGTAGAGCTTGAAAGGGCTTTTATCTACACAGTGCAGTTACCAGCTGCTTTATCTGCCCTGTTCAGTTATCAGAGAGCTCACTAGTGACAGATGTAAAATGACATTTCCTGCCAGAGCAGCTGAAAGGCTCCTTGTGCTATTTATTTACTAGTGTTATTTCTAGTTGTTATTTTGAGCCAAACGCTTGACTACAGCACTGTTCAATGTGAGGACCCCTGTTGTAACTAGCTCCCTGGACAGGATCCCTCTGGGCAGCTGTACTTCAGGAATATAGCCTGCACATGAGTGTGAGAAAAGAGAGGGTTCTTACCCCAGGGATTTTGTAGTTATAGGCACAAAGTAACAGACTTTGGCACAGGAAATCAGTATTTGCCAGTAAAATAGGTCATGGTCTGTTAGGACCAACGTCCTCCTGTTCACCAAGCTTGTCCTGAAAGCATAGCAAGGGGTACAGAGAGTGCAGGAGGCACACAGAGCAGCTTTGTTCACAGAAAGCCCCTCCCAGCTGGGGAAAGCATGGCTCTGCAAACCAGCCGCGGGTAGTGGAGGGCCCTGTGGCATTCAGGCCCAATGTCCGCCTTGCAGTCTGAATACAACGCAAATCTGAACATTTAGGAGTGTGCTGCTCCACCATTTGATTCAGACATCAGGTACAAACTCACTCAGGATGCTCAATGACCAGTCACCCTAGTGAGATGAAGAACAGCGCTGTATCATCTCAATTTCATCATTACAAGACTCTCTCTTGTCACGAAATATATTGCCACATAACTATTTTTAGAGCAGTTCTGAATGCTCACTCTGTAACAAAAAGAATAGGCTTATCATCATTATTCTCTTTCAGATGAGAGACCTAAAGCTGAAAGACTATTCCAGTCTTCCATGTTTATACAACTACAACTGCACACAATATAAACCACTGAGAAGAAACCAAAATACTTTAGTGGATCTTTTTTTTTCCCCAGCTAACAACCCCGGGTGTTTGAGATTATTATTACTATTGCAATGCTAAGTTTCAATACAAACATAAGGCAGCCAAGGCTGAGCATTCCCCTCCTGTAAAAACTATGTGTCAGGCAAAGGCAAGTGGGTTTCCCTTAAGCCAATCACAAAGCTGTTGCTGGGCTTCTGCTCTCTTCCTACTGGTGGGCAGCGCTGGGTGTCATCTGTGTCCGTTTGGAACGCAGCCGTTTTCCTTGGGTGCTGGCAAAGGAAGGATTTTGGGGGTGGATTGAACTGAACATCTCACCAGCCCTGCGAACAAAGCCCCGTTTGTGCTCAGCTATGTGCTTGGATTGCTGTGCAGTCCGGCTGGGATGGACCACGAGCCAACAGAGTGCAAGAAATCTACCAGAAGGTGTTCTGCAAGTGGGAATAGAATAAAAAATAGGCATTATTATTATTATATCTGTATTTATGATTGATTTTACCACAGTGGCAAGGCCTTAGTCCTGAATTATAGACTCCATTCTGTCCTAGATACTCCATTTGTACATATATACACACACTGATTCTACCTCAGATGTATCTGCAGCACTTGCACCTCTTTATCCATCGGGACTCCTCTGTTCCTCACCCCATCTTTCCCATCCCTGGGCTCCATGGCAGCCCCTCCAGGTCATGGTGTTGGGATGGGAGGGGGGCTCCATGCTCCTCCACTGCTTCTTTCCCTCTAGCATGATGAAAAACGCTTCTGGAACGCTTCTAACACGACTGTTGGGGCTTAAATCCCTACATAAAACGTAATGCTTTGACAAGAAGCTTTAGGCACGGGGGTGTCCCCCAAATCGAGAAGGGTTTGCTCACTGAGGCACCACAGCCGCCTCCCGCTCCGGGCACTGGGAGCTCCACGCCAGGTTTTCCTCCGCGCTCCTTCGAGCACACACTGTCTCCTCCCGCCATCGTGTCCCTTCACCGCTCAACGCGCTGACTCCTCCGCGCTGCCGGGCCTCGTTTTCCTCCCCTCGTCAGGTAAAGCTGCGGCGAGCACCACAGGAAAAATAGCGCCTGGCGGAGTGATCTGAGCCGCAGGGGCGGGGCCGCAGGGGCTATATAATGGGCAGGACGTGAATGTGTGGCGCAATTGCAGTTGTGGGAGTGCGGTAAGGTCGTGTAGAGTCAGCTTCGTCTGTGGGCCCGTCGGTGAGTGCTTCGCCGTGCTTCTTCGGGGATAGACGGAGGCTAGAGGCGTTTGTCATGGCGGTAGCAGGGCTTAGGTGTACGTTAGGTGGCGGGGCAGGGGGTGTGTGTGTACGTTGAGGGAAAATGGGCTGCGGATGGAGGAGATGGCGGGCCGTGTGTGTGTGTATATACGTATGTCGCGTTACAGCAGCAGCACGGCGGGCGGGCGGCGGCGGCGGTGCGCAGCGGAGGGGGGGTACAAGCGGCTACCGGCAAAATGGCGGCCGCGCAGGCGCAGCGGTCCTTCAAGATGGCGGGCGTCATGGGCGGGAAGGGGAATGGGGATGTGGGCGGTACTACGCTCTGACGTCACGACGTTAGGCGATGACGTATGTACGTAGGGCGTGGCGTCGCTGAGGGGCGTGCCCCGGCAGCCGAGCAATAGCTTGAGGCAGGATGGGGACCAGAAACTGAGGTGGAGCTGTTCTCATTGCAGAGAAACATGCAGATCTTCGTGAAGACCCTGACGGGCAAGACCATCACGCTGGAGGTGGAGCCCAGCGACACCATTGAGAACGTGAAGGCCAAGATCCAGGACAAGGAGGGCATCCCCCCTGACCAGCAGAGGTTGATCTTTGCTGGCAAGCAGCTGGAAGATGGGCGCACCCTGTCTGACTACAACATCCAGAAGGAATCCACTCTGCACTTAGTGCTGCGCCTCAGGGGTGGCATGCAGATCTTCGTGAAGACCCTCACAGGCAAGACCATCACCCTTGAGGTGGAGCCCAGTGACACCATTGAGAACGTGAAGGCCAAGATCCAGGACAAGGAAGGCATTCCCCCCGACCAGCAGAGGTTGATCTTTGCTGGCAAGCAGCTGGAAGATGGGCGCACCCTGTCTGACTACAACATCCAGAAGGAATCCACCCTTCATCTTGTGCTGCGTCTGAGAGGTGGCATGCAGATCTTTGTGAAGACCCTGACGGGCAAGACCATCACCCTGGAAGTTGAGCCCAGCGACACCATTGAGAATGTGAAGGCCAAGATCCAGGATAAGGAAGGCATTCCCCCCGACCAGCAGAGGTTGATCTTTGCTGGCAAGCAGCTGGAAGATGGGCGCACCCTGTCTGACTACAACATCCAGAAGGAATCCACTCTGCACTTAGTGCTGCGCCTCAGGGGTGGCATGCAGATCTTTGTGAAGACCCTGACAGGTAAGACCATCACCCTGGAAGTTGAGCCCAGTGACACCATTGAGAACGTGAAGGCCAAGATCCAGGACAAGGAAGGCATCCCCCCTGACCAGCAGAGGTTGATTTTTGCTGGCAAGCAGCTGGAAGATGGGCGCACCCTTTCCGACTACAACATCCAGAAGGAATCCACCCTTCATCTTGTGCTGCGTCTGAGAGGTGGTATGCAGATCTTTGTGAAGACCCTGACGGGCAAGACCATCACCCTTGAGGTTGAGCCCAGTGACACCATTGAGAACGTGAAGGCCAAGATCCAGGACAAGGAGGGCATCCCCCCTGACCAGCAGAGGTTGATTTTTGCTGGCAAGCAGCTGGAAGATGGGCGCACCCTGTCTGACTACAATATCCAGAAGGAATCCACCCTTCATCTTGTGCTGCGCCTGAGAGGTGGCAACTGAACCTCCTGATTGTTCCTTGCATTTAAGTAAAAGTTTCTCTGCACTTGTTCATTCCAATAAAGCTGTTGTATCCACAAAAGCTCGTGTCTCAAGTTAGAATTGTAGAATTATTTGGGTTGGAAAGGATGTTAAGATCATCCAGTTCCACCCCCCTGCCAAGAGCAGGGGTGCCTCACACTAGAACATGCGCCACACACTGCCGGCTCATGTTCATTTTCTTAACAGCTGACACCCCAGAATCCTCCTCTGCCCAACCTGTAGCTGTACCTGGAATTGTCCCAACCCAGATCTAGGACTTTGCACTTTATTGAACTCTGTGAGGTTGGCATTGTCCACCTCTTAAGTGTGTCAGGGTCCTTGTGGATGGCATCCCTTGCCTCCAGTGTATCAACTGAACCACAGAACTTAGTGATGCTGGCAGCCTTTCTGAGGGCACGCTCAATCTCACTGTCCATGTTGCTGACAAAGACATTGAACAGCATCAGTACCAACACTGACCCCTAAGGTAAAACACTTGTTACCCCTTTCCAATTGGATATTGAGCTGTTGACTACAACTTGTGTGTGGCCATCCAGCTAATTCTTTATCCACCAAGTCGTCCATTTATCAAATTGATGTTACTCCAGTTTAAAGACAAGCATATTGGATGGGACATTGTCAAAAGCTTTGCACAAGTCAGGTAGGTTAAATCAACTGCTTCCCCCAACTCTCAGTTCCGTAGCCCCATCACAGAAGGCCACCAAATTGGTCAGCCAGGATTTCCCCTTAGTGAAGCCATGTTGGCTGTCACCAACCTTAGCATGCCTTCCAGGGGAATCTGCTCCAGGATTTCCAGAACGTAGGTGAGTGTCCTTTTCTGGGTCTTCCATTTTCCCCTTCTTAAAAATGGAGGTTATATTTCCCTTTTTCCAGTCATTGGGAGCTTCACCTGACTGCCACGCTTTTTGAAATGGGATGGCCAGTGGCTTAGCAACTTCATTTGCCAGCTCCTTCAGGACCTGCGAATGGGTTTCATCACGTCCCATGGACTTACGCATGTTCAGGTTCTTAAGATGGTCTCGAACCAGATCCTCTCCTACAGTGGGCAGTCATGTTAACTTATGTAAAAAAATACTTAATGTCTGTCATTAACAGAACTAGCTGTTTTAAGAAACCAAAGTTACGTATCTTCTGTGTACAAAAGGTATTGCAAAACAGCCTTATGCAAAGCTTACACAGGCCTGGCAAGTGTTAACTAACCCTTCAGCTATCAGTGCTCCTGAGGTTGTGTAAGTGTCCTCAACTTTCTGAAGCAGTGACTGGTGGTTGGTGCCAGTCTGCAGATGTTACACAGCTGCTGGGTTGTGTAAGCATGCGTATGTAATGTGAGCCTTCAATAGCTGGGAGGCATTGATAATCCAGCTTTACCCAGAAACAGCCGGGTCCTGCCCCGCGTTTTGCTGCAGCAATGGATTAATGTAACGCTGCTGTTGAGAGCCTGCTCTGATGTGACTGGCTGCTTGGTGGCAGTGCAGGATGTCACTGCGGATTCTGCAGCCCTTGGGCCTGAGAAATCTGGCTAAAGTGGGCCTTTCATCATCAGCCTTTCATCAACCCCCTCACGTCAGGTTATGGGGTAGATAGTTTTGTAAAGCACATTGAGCAAACTTCTAATTTTCAGGCACACCAGGCTATTAAAAATTGGAATGTGCTTTCATTCCAGCTGTACACTAAGTGGACAGTGCAACGATGGGCTAGAATGTCACAAGGCAGGTCCCATAGACTATAAAAGCCCTGGCAAGAGGGAAATCACTCGTGTTCTGTGGTGAAAGCGGTGGTTGCTGGATGTTGGAGCTCATGAGTAGCTCACCATGCAGTGAGGGGTGGGAAGTGGGAAAAGGAGGCTGAAGGGTGGAAACCAAAAATGCCCTTTGCAAGAGTGACAGCGTGCCTTCTGTGCCTTAGAAGAAGGAGTGCATGTAATTGTTCTAAAATAGGTTGTCACAAACCAGACTCTTCCCTTCATTGTTGATTTTTTGCTACTTCCATGATGCTTTTAGCGGTAAGTCTCACCCAGGGCAGCTTCAGATGCACAAGATAGGCAAAAACCCCATTTCCTTGGGAACTCGGAGGCAGGTTAAGCGGTGGTGGCCATAAATACACACATTTGTATGGTTTTAATGCATTACTGCACGGGTTTATCTCCGCGCTCGCGGCGCGTTCCGCTTCCCGTGGGTTGACCTTCCCGCGCCGGCGGGGCTGTGCGAGAGGCGGTGCCCGGCTCCACTCCGCCCCGGCCCCGCTCCGCTCCGCCTCCAGCCCCTGTCCCTCCGCCGGGCCGGGCCGGGCCGGGCCGGGCCGCGGGGCCATAAAGCAGCGGCGGCGGGCGCAGGCCGGGTCCGCTGTGCCGCGCCGCGCCATGGGCTCGGCCCGCCGCAGAGCGTCGGTGGGGCTGGGGCTGGCCGGGGCGGCCTGCGCCCTCCTGGGGGTCTCCCTTCTGCTGGTGGGGCCCCGCATCGTCAAGGAGCAGGTTATCAAGGTCAGCGGGGCCGGGAGGGGCGCGTGTCTGCTGCGGGGTGCCCCAGGGCTCGCGGCTGGAGCTGGTGCGGGGCTGGGAGCGCGGAGCGGGGCTGGCGTGCATCCCGGTGCAAGGTGCAGGGGGTGGTGGTGCGGGGCCGGAGCCAGGGCTGGTGCTCGGGCAGGTTTCCCTGCGTAGCGTGATGCGGAGCAGTGTGAGAGAGCTGAGCCCTGGGGGACTCTGCTTCGGCGTCACTGCTGCGGCTCTGAGCAGCCTCTAAAGCTCAGTGTGGGCAAATAGCGGCTTGGGATGTGCCAGCTTGGGTTGCAGACGTGCCTGGGCTGAATGGGAGCTCAGCCCTGGCTAGCAATGGCTTTAGAAACAGATGGAATTGGATGGGGAGGACAATGCTGGTGGTGCTGGGCTCAGCAGCTTGGCAGGCTGAGCACTGCACCCAGCACCAGCCCTTTCTTCTGTCCTTGCTGCCTTAACCTGCTGCACTAGTTGTTCCTTTCATTAATGGGTTTGGACTTAACTCTGAGACAATTCCCAGACTGAAAACGGGACAGATGATGTGCAGAAGGGCTCTGAAGCAGCCTTGTGCATGGAGCGACCTTCAAGTCACCAAAAATCTAAAGAGCTGCCTCTGAAGACCTGTCTTACCCACAGGTGTCCTGAGGCTGAAGGGGTGTTTGTTCCCTGTGGTTAAGACATGGGGCTGTGGGTGGAGTTGGTTTGTTCAGTGACTGCTTCACGGTCTTGGGAACCAGCACTCCCATCCTTGCTGCTGGGATACCTTATCCTGCCATAATGATCCAATTGGCTCAATCCCACATTCAGCCAAACCTTTTTCTCCCTGTGCCCTGCGTGGGCATTTCCTCAGGCTTGCACTCTACCCAGATCAACACCTGGAAATGTGCTTCTGATGGAAGAGGTAAATATCCCATAGCCGATGGCTTGGTTAGCTGTGCTGCAAAGTCCCTGTTGAAAACAGACTTCTATCCTTCGGAGGTGCTGCTGCCTGGGCAAAGCCACACCGACCAGTGACTTAAGCATTAAAAGTCAGTCTTTGTTCAGTTTCATGGGCATCAGGAGCTGGTACCTGCAGATAAAATGCTGAGTGGCCCCTGCAGAACAGGACTGACATTTTTGGTGCAAAACCCTTTCTGCCCTTTTTTTTGGCTAATCCCAGTTCTTTCTACCTGGTTAGCTAAATCCTAGTAACTTAACAACTAGGAAATACCAGCCCTTGTTCCTTTTCACTTTATCCCAAGCCCTTGGATCTGAATTTCCAGCATGACTCAAAATGGTCCTGAGCTCTTAGGAAACTTGATGTGAAATAGAAAAAATAACTGAGTTATATCCAGGGTGGTGAGATATATCCATAGCCCCATGTTCCTGAGCTCTGTCAAGGTGGAGGAGGACTTGGCTGCAAAGAGGCAGTGGATTTGAGTGTGTCCTTAGGTCTGTGGGTAACATGCAGTAGAAACAGGAAGCTTGGAGCCTGTTTCCTGCCCCATTGCAGGAACTGAATCTGTATCAGAAAGTGTATCTGAATCTGCAAAACCTGGGAATGTTGCTTTTCTGGAAGCCCTTGGAGTGCCATCGACCTGCCTAAGATACGAGCTGTGAGGCTGCATCAACTCGTCCATCTGCCACTTGATGCTTCTGCTCCACCTGGGAGCTCTTGTGCTGTCCTGCCTGAAAGCTGGGAGAAGACGGACAGCGCTGGCTTTGCTCTTTCAGGAGGGTGATGAGGATGGTGGTGAGAGGATGTGGAGATGAGGTCTGACACCGAGGCTGTGCTTGGGCACGGCGTGGTTGCTGCTCCTCATCTGAAGAGGGAACCTCAGCTCTTGGTTTTACTGAGCAGGGTGGCTGAAGTCTCCCTCTTGGAGGAACAGGATTTGACCACTGTCTGCTCAGGAGGGATCAAACATCTTGGTGATGCTTTATAATCCACCTAAGTGAAACATGTTCTTTCCATTTAGGCGTATGACCATGTTTTTGACCTACAAGTGGCTGAATTCTAAAGCTACCCTAAGTAGGTCTTAATTTGTAGCATCTGTGGAGTACCTCGAGCTGCTGTGCCCAGATGGGAGAAGGCTGAGAAATGTAGCAGGGAGCCAGGATGCAGCTCTGTCTGACTGGGAACATATTATATAGATAAATGCATATGCAGGAAGGGATCCAGGGGGTGCAGGAATAAGCAAGTGAAGGAAAGCAGATGTTGCTGCTCATACTCTGTTGGACACTCAGGAGTCAGGATTATAAAGCAGGCTAAATAGAAACATGTCCTGTTGCTGCTGCTTCTGCTTGCAGGTAGCACAGCCTGGCCTTGAAACTGCTAAAGATGCAGAATTGCAGGGAAGCCTCTGGCAGCTTTCACAACTCAGCCCCACGTAGCAGCAAATACATGTATGTTCACATCAAGTTGCTCCAGGGCAGGAGAACCATTATGGAACTGAGCTGCAAAGGGATAACAGCCATGTGCCTTTGGCTATTAGCGGATCAAACCCGCTTCCATAAGCTGGCTGGGTTACTTAACCCAAGTAACAAAGGCTTGTGCTTGCAGAGGAAGCACAGATTATGGTGGAACTCATCCAGAAAAAGTGCTCAAGAAGGAACGAACAGGCTCTTGTCTGTAAGGCAGTTCCCAGGAGGCTGGGAGGGAGTTGAAACAGACGTGGCCAGATGCCAGCTCCTGGACTGGGAACCTGGTGAGGGCTTAAGTCACGTTTGGGCTCCTCCAGGTGTTTCCCAGCAAACAAGACAGCAATATGGGAACCAGGGTTGTGGTTCTTCATAAGGCCTTTGACCTGCCTTATGACCAGCTATGAGTCACTGCAGGATGGAGCTGAGGGGACGCAAAGGTGTCCTGCACTGCGCTGTTGGGACCCAGCTCGGTTGCCATCCCAGTTTTCTGTCTGCTTTTTGGGAATCTAGTGGGCCCTCCCTGGTGGTACCCCTATACTTGTGTCAATGGGCACGATGATTCCCAGCCTTTGCCTGCTTTAGGCTGCCAAACCTTGCCAGGTGATTGGCTTACTTCAGGACAGGGTAGTCCTGGCAAGTCAGATATGCGGAGTTGTGAATAATTTAGTACTGGCTTGTTATAATTCAAAGCAAGCCTCTAGCACATCGAAAGAGCTCTGAAATCCTGTGGGTAGGATCTGGAAAGTTGAGCCTGAATAAATAAGCCTACAGACATCCTGTGGCATGAACTTGATGCTTCTGCATGCGGAAAAGTTCCCGGTTTAGATCTGGCTTAGTTTCAGTCTGCATAACATGCCTGGATCCTCTGGAGAGCCCCTGCTGGAGCTGCCACCTTCAGCTGGGCTTGACATGGATCTGAGGGTGGATGTGCTCAGCTGCAGCCACTGATCCCAAGAGCTGTCTCCTTACTCTGTTTTTTCCCTTGCAGAATGTCAGGATCGACCCCGGCAGCATCTCCTTCAAGATGTGGAAGGACATTCCTGTTCCTTTCTACATGTCAATGTATTTCTTTGAAGTGCTGAACCCCGACCAGGTCCTCCAGGGAGCAAAGCCGGCGCTGCACCAGCGTGGACCCTATGTGTACAGGTTAGGTACCACATGTGGTCCAGCTAGGGCTGAGCACATTCACCATGCTGCCTGCCAGGCTTCTGGCTATCTCCTTTGGCTGGAGGGCATAGCATCAACATACTTGGAGCAAGGCTGGTGGCACAGGATCTTAAGGTGACCCATATGTGCTCTAATTGCCCTGATCTTGCTAAAGCCAGAATTAGGGAGGACCTTTGGCCTGTGCTTCACTGAGTCGTGGAGCTCAGCCCCATGCTGGGATCTGTTGGGCAGCCAGACTAATATGGTCCAAATGTAGGCATGAGGGGTGTTGATATGGTGGTTCAAAGTGGACTGGTTTTATCTTCACTGTACATTTGAGAGTCCAGTTCCAGAGTCAGAGTCACCTCAATATCAAACTTCATGGGTAAGAGGTCTCAGGCCAATCCAACATGAGACTCTGAATCTGCCTAAAATGAATGCTGTGGTTATGAGAACCAGTATGGAGCACTAAAACTTGATCAGGCCCACCTACAGCAGGGCTGGGTCTATTTGTCATGGCTGAAGATGGTCATTGAAGCCCCAGATTATTCTCAGGACCTGAAACACAAAGTGATGGTGGAGGTTGAGTGTGTGAATTTACCCCTAAGTAGCATGTGTTTGCCTACACATGTAGGCAAAGCTAGGTCAGCAGCCTAAGCAAGCTCAGGCAGAAGGATTACTGGTTTAATCCAAAGCTGTTTCAGTAGCATTGGGGGAAACCTGACAGTATGTTGGCCCTTGTTTCCTTTGGGCTTGCCAGGTCACACCGTAACACCATGTGGGTTCTGTATGTTGTGATTTCATCAGTCACTTGGCTTGGGAAAAGGCTTCCCTCACTGTAAATAAGAATAAACAAAGGGGCAAAGCTTATTAGTGTCCTTGTGTTCCCGCTGGGAGAGATTAGTGCCCTTCCCTAATGTGCACTGTAACGCAGAGGCTCCACAATAAAGGACTTTGTTTTTGCTGGTGGGTTGAGCTTCGGCTCCCTTGGGAGCTGTAACAGGCTCACAAGTGTTGGGGAGAACCTCGTGCTACTGTGGCCTCCATGAGACTGAGATGCCCCTATAGCATGGAGTGAAGGGGAGCAGTGCTGGGCAGTGTGCAGGAGGTGGTACTACCTGAAGCCTTGAGGAGAGCCATGAAGGAAGGTCAAGGTGCCCTGAACCTGGGAACCATCAGGGAGATCTGGGGCAAATCAGGGGGGGCTCAGTGCTGGGTCTCGTGGCATCTAGTTTGGTCATCTTCTGTTCTGGAAGTTATTTGGACATGTGTGTTGGTGTAGGTTTGCTTACCTGGGCATTTCCCTGATATGGCTGGGCTTTTCAATGACTGTAGGTGCAGTGAGTTTTTATGCTTTTGTCTCAAACTTCTCATCAGCTGGGTTTTGAGTGGTGAAGAAACACTTTGTGCTTTGCTGCAGAATCCAGTCTGTCAGGGATGCCTTGCTCCCAGGCTGCCATCTCCTCCTGCTAGACCCTAACCGTGGTTGGACTGTGAGGTTGATACCATGTTCCCTTGGATGCTGCCTCCCCTGCTGTCCTTTGGCTTCTTCCTGGGGTTTGGTCTCCTTGTTCTTCAGAAGCAGGCCTAGGCCTGTGCAGCCCCTCCTTACCCACAGGCTTTGCTTTGCAGGGGTACTGCCTGGGGCGATGGTTCCCATGATCTCTCCCATCTCTTTGCAGAGAGTTCAGGTATAAGACAAATATCACATTCCATGACAATGACACCGTCTCCTTCCTGGAATATCGGAAACTCTTCTTCCAGCCAGAGCTGTCCAACGGCCGTGAAGACGACTACATTGTTGTGCCAAACATTTTGATGATGGTAAGAATTTGCTCCATGGATAGTTACCGACTTCTGAGCTTGAGGGAAGGGCGATGATGCTCAGTACTGACTCAGAGCTTACTTTCATTTAGGGCTTAAGGCTAATAAAGCAATTAAGTGATTAAGCTTATAACATGCAATGTTCAGCTTTCTGAGTGCTGGTTGTTGCTTTGGGCTGTTATCCTTCCAAACCCAGAGTGTGCAGAGGGGCTGGCAAAGCACCTGGGCTTGCATCTGCAACCTTGCCTGAGCATCCTCTAGGGAAACGAAGGCTATGATCCCTCAATTGCTTTGTTCCAAAACTGGAGGCTTGGAACAAAGCAGTTGTTTGTTCAAAGGACTTTTTGAGGGATGTAGATTGATGTGGTCAAAGGATCTTGCTGAGCACCAAAGATGCATTGCTTCCACTTAAAAAAGAGGAAAAGGTGGGCCTCTCATCTCAGGTTTGTTTCTTTCCCAGGGAGCAGCTGTAATGATGGAAAACTTGCCAACCTTTGTGAAGATTTTACTGAGTGGAGCCCTGGCTGGCCTGAAACAGCAGGCGTTCATGAACCGGACAGTGGGGGAGATCATGTGGGGCTATGACGACCCTCTTATAGATGCCATAAATGCAATTGTTCCCGGCATGATCCCTTTCAAGGGAAAATTTGGCATGTTTGTGGAGGTGAGTAAACTGCTGGTTGGGAACACTAAAATCACAGCAGTGCTGGTCTTAGGGGCAGCCCAGATGCTCAGTCCCCTCACAAAGTGTTTGGAGCAGCCATGTGTAGCTGGTGGTTGTGTCAGGCTGCCTTAATTCTCCACCTGGGCAGAAATGCTGGTGTTTGAAGCTGTTGCTGGCAACTGAAATGAATAGAAGCTCAGTAGCTTACAGTCTGTGGAGCACCCATAGAGCTGAGGAAGTGTGCAAAGTCAGTAACATACTGCAGTTTTGTTGTGTATAATGGTTAAAAATTAGCCTCTCTTCTCTGCAGTTCAACAACTCCAATTCAGGACTGTTCACAGTGAACACGGGCATGAAGAACATCAGTGAAGTTCACATGGTGGATTCATGGAATGGGCTAAAGGAGGTAAGTGTCAAGCAGAAAAACTGTTATAGGGGGCCAGTGCCTGATCTAAAGCATGATAAACTGGAAGCTTTTGGTGTTGTTGTGTCTCTGGGTCTCAGGTTTGAAGGCAAGTTTCTACAGGACTTCAGCTGCTGCAATTTCTGGCAAATTGGCAGAAGGTGGCTCTTGTTCTATGTAGCAAGAGGCTTACATGAAGGATTAAGTTCAGCTCATCATCTGTGTCCCTTGGATTCCCTTGAAATCCTGTTGGAGCTGGTTGCTTCTAAAGTTGAAGTCCCAGGGTCCCATGGCCTGTGTTTAAGGTGTTTCTTTACTTGTTAAAGGAGTGCTTATTCTTCCCTTGTGGGATTCCACTCCTAAAATCAACTGAATCTACAGACCAATCACTGTGGGAGCACTAGAGACTGCTGGATCTTGTCCTGTTTTTCCACTCATTATGCAGATCTTTGAATGGGAAAGATCTTGGAAGTTCTTCAGTGTTGCAGCCTCAAGCTGCTTCGGAAGCAGTGTAGAGTTGTGGATGTCCCATGCAGGCCTGGAAGCCAGCTCTCTCCTTGTTCTTACTCCTGTCCTGTAGGTGAATTACTGGCGGAGCCGTGGCTGCAACATGATCAATGGGACAGCAGGAGAGATGTGGCCACCATTCATGTCCCCAACATCGCTGGATTTCTACAGCCCGGATGCCTGCAGGTGAGGCCAGTGCGTCCCTGTGCAGGAGATGCAATGTTCATCCTGTGCCCACGGCATACGTGTGCAGTGACGCAGAGGGCTCAGGGCTCCGTTCTGTAGTTAAAGTTCAGCCATGGTTCCATGTTGCAGTATCTGAGCTTTGCAAACAGCGTAGTTGTCTAATTAGCAGTGGCTCGTGCTGTTCATAAATACCTCCCAGATTGCTGGGGAAGTAAAACTTGCCCATGTTGAAGCAGTAGAAAATAACCCGTCTAGATAAGACGTGGGAGGTGAGAGGGAGAAGTAAGAGTTGTCACAAGGAAATGCAGCTATAACCATTTGCAGAACTATTTCAGCTGACTAAATGGTTGCAGAAGTGATTTTGGGGGGGTTGTGCCCCTGTTGCCAGGCTGCTGCTTTTTCTTCTCTTTTTTTTGCCGCTTTGTTCCAGTGCTACTGTGCATCTGTCCTGTGTAAAGACACCCTGACTTGGGTGATCACACAGGGGTTAAAGTACCCTGCAGAGCCCGCCTGAGTGGAAATTCCCTGAGGCTGGAAGGAGGGGAGACGGGAGGTGGCACAAACCCCTGTCCCCAGCTTGGGAAAGATAATGTTAATTCAGGCTTTGTAGATAGTGCCGCAAAACAAGCAAGTGCTCTTGTTGAATAGAGAACAATGACCTCTTCAAACAAGCAAAGTCAGCTGAGCCAAGTATTAGTGCAGGAATTCCTCTACATAAGGGGCATCAGCAAATACCAAAATGACACCGGAGCCGATAACTTACAGGGAAGTTTACCGGTAATCATAGTTTAAATACAGATGCCTTTTTCTGTAGAGTTCTAGGGAGCAGAGCGTGTTTTTTGGCAAGGCATCCGGTGAAGAGGACAAAACCATACTTGGTTTCTAGTTAGCATGGGAGGCTCCTGCCTGACCGTGCTGTGGGGGAAATGGCTCTGCTGTCTTTTCTCCCCACATCCCCCCATTGCCACTCTGTTAGCCTGGCTAGAGAGGAAGGAGTCACAAAGATCAGTGAATAGATTTAAGAGCACATCTGCCTTGCTGCAGGGCACATCTGTGCTGTTTGCACATTAGATGCAGCTGATGCTGATATGCAGCTACCTGGATGTCCCTGCAAGGTAGGCAAGGCTTTATCCTGCTGATGTGCTGCAGCAGCCTCTGCCTCCTTGCTGGAAGGTGAGCGCAGCCAAGAGTCATCCACGTAACTGCTGAACATGCACTAAATCCCACATCCTTGGTTCTGGTGTCAGAAGGTGTCTGTAGAAATAAGCACCCCCTGCCCAGGCTGTCTGCATCCCTGTAAGCCTTGCTTGAGTGTGAAAGGAGGAAACCTTCCTCCTGGAAGCTTGCATCTTCTCCTTACAGCTGGTAGCAGTAATGCAGCATCACATCACAGCCTGTTGTGTCAAGAGTCTTGCTGCATAATGTAGTAAAAATTTCCACTCCCCTGACAGCCTCTGTGCTGAAGTTGTGCTGTGAAAGAGATTTAGCCAGTGTCCATCCCCTGTGCATGTCCCCTGAGCACCTCGGAGCCAAGGCTTGCACAAAGAGGGTATTACCTCTTGGAGAGCAGCCCTGGGGGTTACTATATACCTTTAAACTAACCTCACCTGGATATGCAAACTGACTTAAAACCTGTGTTTTCTGTCCACAACTAGTTCTGACCAACCCTTTATCTGTGTTTAAAACATGGAAAGCAAATGGCTTAAATACTCATTCCCCATCCAAAGCACTGCTTTGAGTGCTTATCTCAATCTCAAAGTCTAAGTTACATTGCAACTGCATCTTATCCAGCAAAGATAAGAGCCCAATTCTGGGCTGGGAGCTTGTTGTCTAATCCTGATCCTTCTCCAATGAAACCCTTCCAGATCCATGAGGCTGGTGTACGAGCAGTCCGGGAAGTTTCAGGGTGTGCCCACCTATCGCTTTGTGGCACCAAAAACTCTCTTTGCCAATGGCACTGACTATCCACCCAATGAAGGCTTCTGCCCCTGCATGCAGTCTGGCATCCAGAACGTCAGTTCCTGTAGGCTGAGTAAGTCCTTTCCTCCTCTGGCTTTCCCTGTACCAGTGTTAAACTATGGGGATCTGATATGAGCTTGGCTGTCTGGAAAACCAGCTCTGTTATCTACGGAGTGCTGGGGTCTTGTGCATGGCGTTCTCACCCGCAGGCATCTCAGCAAGGAGGGACAGGGGGAAAATCCTTGTACGCGAAGTCCTCTTGGTCTCCATGATCCTATGACAGCCTGGTGTTTGTGGGAATGCCTAAGGATACAACGGGAGTTTTATATCCCCTGGGCTGTGGAGGGAGTAGGCAGAGGAGCATAGGTGGGACGAGGCAGGCTGTGTAACTGCCAAATTAAATGTTAGCTTTGGACACTGAGGGTAGGTTATGCAGGAGTGTGAGAATTCAGCCTTAGTGCCCTAGCCTGTGTCTGGGTACAGTGAGTTGCCACTGCAGTGTGTTTTGCATAGGTGGGAGAGCGTAGGTTAAGCACTAGGTCTTTACTCTCCCAGAGCTTCAGGGAGGGAAGGGAAGAAGCTTTCTGGATGGGAGGAGAAAAGTATAAAAGCCTGTTCAGAACAAGTGCTGCAATAGCTAAAAAATCACAGCAAGGAGCCTCAGATGGGTTTGGATGAACTTTAAGTGTCTTTGCTCTCATCCAGATGCACCCATGTTCATTTCACATCCTCACTTCTACAATGCTGACCCAGTCCTGTTGGATGCTGTTGAAGGCCTGCACCCCGACAAGGACCAGCACGCGCTCTTCCTCGACGTGCACCCGGTGAGTGTGTGTGAGCATGAGCATGAGCCTGCCAGGGTCCTCCTCCATGGAGGAGCCTCACTGTGCCCCGGGGGTCCCGCTGGGCTGCGTGTGGAGCCTGCCTCCGGCTGCGTGGTAGCCTTGCTCTGCTCCAGTGGCACTGATTTGAGCAGGTTCCATAGTGCAAAGACTGGCGAGGACAAGTGCAGATAAAAAATGTCACAGCCATAAACTAATTGAATAATTAGCCTGGCTTGTAGAGAATTGCAGAACCAATTATAAGCATAATTGTTTTGGTAAGCAGAGTCAAGTTCTTTCCACTGACTCAGGTCTGTAACACCAGGAGGTGTATCTAGCAGCAGCCCAGTTATGCCCCAGATCTGAGATGAGAACTAACTAGCAAAGCCTGAGATCATGCTGCCGCTGAAGCTGTCACCACTGTTTTTGGGCCGGCTTCTTCCAGTCTCTCAACCTGCTCATCTGACTAGCTGCTTTGGCACTGCACTGCTGCTGTGTTACACTTCTCATCTATAGTGAGGGTGAAGTTACTGCTCCATTGGTGATGAGTTGGGGTGTCCTGACTCGTTGTCCCAGCTGCTGATGGGGAGAGGACTTTGGGATCTTCCACCCATGGCCTGTGTGGCATGTGGTCAGATCTTCCAAACATTGTGATGTTTGTCCAAGCAAGAAACAAGTTCCCTTCTTGAGGCAAAGGGAGCTGTGCTGCTTATCTAGGCATTGGGTTCTCTCTGCTTTTCTTATCGCAGTTATGGAAATCTAATTAAGTTTATTACAGTATCAAACATCTACTGATAACAGTACAGTTAACTGTATTCTTATCTAGCTGCAGTCTGCTGAGTGCAAACGGGCAATCCAGCAAAAACTCTCTGCCCTTAATGTGTTGCAAAACTGCAGTGTCATGAGAAACCACTGCCTTAATGGGTGTCATCAAGACCAGATTTGAAGTGGGGTGTTTTCATGGTCTTGGGATGTTGGTGGACAGTGCTATCTGTTCTTCATTATGAGAAACATTTTGTCCTTTCCTGTCTGCACAAATCTTTTGCATCGATGCATTTCTATCCTGCTGCTGGTAGGATGAACAACAGAAAAGGCTTATCAGGCTTCAGAAAACACTGGAGTTCTATTAAAGCATCCTGTGTAGGGGGTCACTTACAGGTTACATACATTGCTTGGTAATTTGAACTTGCTTATGCTGAGCCCCACAAGCCCTGGGTCATACAACACCTCCCTTGATGCTGTTTGCCTGCTGACTGTGTGCTGCCTTCTGCAGCAGCCATGTGTGTCCAGGTTAACTTTGTGCCTTCAGACCACCCCAAAGGAGGTGCTGCAACAGTCTCACTGTCTGGTGACCCTTCTGCAAACTGCCATGGGGACAGTGCTGTTCCTCTGTTAGCAGCCATCCCCAGAGCCTGGGGACTGGTGCCTGCCTGGCTGATGCTTGTGCTTTGGTGGAAACCTCAGCCATGCTCCTGATCCTGTGTGTGGTGACTGCAGCAGAGCTCTGGATGATCCAATCCAGAGCAGCTAGGATGGGAAGCAAAGGGTCGCTCTTCTGCGAAGCTCTCCAGACAAATGTTGTCTTTACTGATGAACTGGTTGGTCTCTTTCTATGCAGTTGACTGGCATCCCCATGAATTGCTCCATCAAGCTCCAGCTGAACCTGTACATAAAACAGGTGTCTGGTATAATGTAAGTAGTCACCTTTTAGAAATGTCCATCTCCCTGGAGCAGAGCTTACTCTGCCCAGAGATGAAGTAGCTTCAATATTACCAGTTGTCACAGTTGCAGAAGCCAGCTGGCTCATGTGGTGAAATGCCAGCTATGACAGTGACCTCAAACTGACATGCTTTAGCAGTGCAGTATGTGGATGGCTCCTCCTGGTGAGGCACAGAAGCGGTTCCCCTGCACTCTGCTGTTGCTCAGGTGTCACATCCAACTTGAAGAGGCAAAACATGTGTTGTCCACAGGGTTGACAGTTGTAGCCTGTGTCCAAAAAGGCACTTTCAGCTCTGATAGCAAACAGAATGGCTCTTGCTGCTTTGACTGGCTTTAGGGCATACACCAGCAGACAGCCCCCAGTGCTGTGAGCTTGCACCCTCTGTTACCACGCAGGTGACCAAGATGTCTTGCAGCCATGTGAAGTTTAGCATTCCAGTTCATTGAGTTCATGTCCCTGCAGCCCAGATTTGGAATGGCACTTACTGCTAAGCACAAATAGAAGCATAAGTTCTGTGCTTGTGTAAAAGGGCCAAGTTGGACCTGGTCCCTTAAGGGGGGAGCAGCTCACTGAAGCAGCAGGAATTGCTACTTCCTTACACTGTTCCCTGGCCATTACCAGTCTGTCAGACCCAGCTCTTTAGGAAGAGTTATGACTCTAATTGTGGCCTGATCAACCAGAAATCTAAGTATGTGTGTTTTTTCTTCCCCCAGTCAAACAGGGAGGATTAAGCCAGTGGTCCTGCCGCTGCTGTGGTTTGCAGAGGTGAGTTGCCTTCCTTGACCTGATCCTTCAGAGCCCCTCCTGTGGGAGGTGGAACTGCTTATGCATCACCCGGTGCTGGGGAAACTCCACTTTGGATAAAGCTTTAAGCAAGACAGACTAGTTAAGCACCAACAGAAGGCTTTATAATACTTGGCTGTGCCATTAATCCCTCTGAGCTGAACAAACCCTGCACTATAGTTGGTAAATCTCTGGCTCTGCCCTAGATGTGGGGTTAAATAGGGCCCACAACAGAGCTGCCAGCATCCCCATGCTAATGTGGGCCTGGGAGTGCAGTTTCCAGCTGTGTGCGTGCCTGGCTGATTCCAACTGTTTAGTAAAAGCCTCTAGTCTGACTGAATCTTGCTTCAATTCCCTGATCTGTGCTGGGAGGGCAGTTGTGCAGCTGGTTTGTCTCAGCCCTGGGTGGGAGGGAAATGCCACTGACAGCTCTGATTCTTTGAGCAGAGTGGATCCATCGAAGGCTCGGTCCTAAAGCAGTTTTACACCAACCTGGTGCTGATCCCATCGCTGCTGGACTACCTGCAGTATATCTGCCTTGGGCTGAGCATCCCGCTCATTATCTCAGCAGCTGTACTCATGGCAATGAGTCAGGTAAGAACCTGCAGATGTCTAATGGGAAATGCTGTAAGTCCAATCAGACTTAATCAGATGATGTAGATTGGGCTGACAATCTAACACTCCTGAGGAAACATTGGCTGATGGCACGAACAGTGACCTAATGGTGCCAGAGGCCAGCATGTAGCAGCAGGACTTCCTCAGCCATCTAGAAACTGGGCTGCAAATAGATAACATGAAAGCATTTCTGGCTTTCTCAGCACACAGCATCGATGGAAATGGGTTCCTGTAGGAGGAGGTATTTCTCAGCTCATCCAGTTGATGAAAGAACAAGCCTTGCTCATCAACCCAGCCTCCATAGAAAGCAGCAGGTCTGTGCCATTGCACAAATCTGTGCATCTCTGCAGGGTCCCAACAGTTTTCTAATCTGAATAGAGCCTTCTCGAGGGGATAGAGCTACTTGAGCACAGCTTGTTCTCTAATGAATCGCAGTCGCTGTGTTCTTGCAGGAGAGGCACAGACATTGTGGCTGCTTCTCAGCCCTGGCTGTGCTCTGTCTTTCCTTGGAACTCGCTTGTTTTCAAGCAGACTACTCCAAATAGCTCTGAGCTGTAAGGGCAGAATATAAACCAGCTAAAACGTGTGATGGAGATTCAGCTCCCAAACATTCACCTGATAACACTAAGCTTTCTAAAAGCTTTATCTCTTGAAGTAGAGATCTAGCTCCCTACCCTTACCTGCTTCAAAGCCAGCTTATTTACTTTTCCACTACAACCAAGTGTCTTGAGCTGGCTCTGAAGTTACAGAAGTGAAGCTACTTGTGGGGATAAAAAGGTAATGCTTAGGATGAAAGCAGGCTAAGGGGAGAGCTTGTGTGAGGGGCTGCTTTTGCTTAATCTCCTGTAACTGCCCTCACTGAAACACTTGTACAAACCCACTTTAAACAGTGCCAGGGTTCTCAGAGTATCACGTAATAGGATTTTAACCAAGCCTACAACTGGTTAATTGACTTAAGCACATGATCCCAAATCCCCTTGTTCTTCCACACACCTCCCTGTAGAGTGGGAGTAATGCTAGGGCCGAGGGCTTGGTGTTAAAGCCTTACTGTGCTCCTGAGGTGGTCAGGCTTTGTGTGCTGAACCTCTCTGCTTCAGCACTGCAAGTGCTTGTTGGCAAGTGGACTTCACTCTGTTGCATGGCACCAGCATATCTGGAAAATGTCTATCTGCTGGCATTATTTCTAAGACCTTATGCAGCCCTGGGCTGGCATTTCCTTCCCCTGCTTTATGCAAGTCTTAATTCCTGCCATCAAAGAGCCTTAACTGTGCCAGGAAGGGTCAGGAAGAAAAGCTGGATTGTAAATCTGTTCAAGTCAACTGAGTATCTGTGAAATACCCCAAACCCAGGCATAAGCTTGCTGTATTTGGGTGCTCAGCCAGAAGTGTGGTGAAGTGCTAGAACTGAAAATCAGCTGCAGGAGGTGCCTGACTACCTGAAAAGTGATAAATGAGAGGCTTGATGACCTTAAATCTAAGCAAGCTGTGCAACAACACATGAAAGTCTCATGTCTAATGAATAGATAAGAGCTTGTAAACTGGAAGACAGCAATTTGCAGCCAAGGTGTGTTCCTCCTTTGATTGAAGTGTTGCTGATCTTTGCTGATGATTGCTTAATCATGCACAGTCCTCCCTCTTGAAGACACAGGTGGGGGGGCACTGAGCAGGGGCATTGACCACAGCTTCACGTGTCTGCCAGTGCGAAGGTCTCCCTGATCCCAGCTCCTTACTGGAGTATCCTGTGTGCCTCTGGCTTCTGGAGGGAGCAATGTGCTCTAAAGCCGGTCCAGATGCAGTGCTATGAAGCACTTAAATCTTAGTCTAGCTGACAGTGGAGCCAGTTTGAAATGCATCCGTTGGACCTGCAGTTCTAAACAATGTGTGAAGCTCTGCAGGTGCAAAACATGTCCAGATGCAGCACTGTAGCTAAGATGGCCTAAAGCCTTTGTGGTGACTTGTTTGAAAAGCAAACGGACCATTTAAAACTGGCTTGACACTGCCCAAAATCTAAACTAGGCCTTAGCTTAACCTAGATCTTGAAATCTTTGTTAATAACTAGATTCTAGTTAAACAATGATTTGAAAATCTCCTCTTAAATTGGAACCCTCATGGAATTCCTGTCCAAGTGCACCATAAACGAGCCTGATTGTCTTCTAGGAAAAATGCACTTTATTTTGGAGTAGCAATAAAAAGAGCTCAGACAGTAATAAGGCCAACCAGGCCACCTCTGCCAAAAAGCTGCCTCCGGTTAAGGGGACGGTGTTGCGGGAAGCCAGACTGTAGGTGGGTACCCAGTCAAGGTAACACACTTTTGTCTCGTCCTGATCTGATTAAACTTTGCTTAAAGCCAATCAAACAGCAATGCGTACTGTCTGCATCTACCAGACATGCCCTCGTAGCAAGCTTGGATATAAACGGTGTCTCATGGCTTTATTCAGGGCAATTTAGATGTCTTAATACTCACACTTAACTGGGCTGCACGCACATGCTTTTATTGTTTCTCCTGGTGTGCCTGATACGCAGCCCTAATACTATCAGCAGGGATTAGGGTGAAAAGTAGAACTGGTGTGAGGAAACACTTTTCTTGCCTATTTCTTCCCACTCTGAGTATTTCAGATCCAGAGGTAAGTTTTGGAATGGGCAAAACCTCATGGGGTAACAGAGGTAGTCACTTGGTGGGTGTCATTCCCCTTCGGGATATAGGGGAGCCTCCATGGAAAGGCTTTCAAGAGGGAATTTCTAATGTCTTAAAAAATCTGGGTTTGTATTACAGGATCACAAAGTAACTGAATCGGTGAGGTTGGAAGGGACCTCTGAAGGTCATCTAGTCCATCCGCTCTTCTCAAGCAGGGCCACCTAGAGCTGATTGCCCAGGACCATGTCCAGATGTCTCTTAGTATCTCCAAGGATGGAGATTCCCCAACTTCTCTGGGCAACTTATTCCAGTTTTTACAGTTTTCAGAGTGAGAAAAACCCAAGTGTGTTCCCTAATGTTCAGGTGGAACTTCCTGTCTTTAAGCTTGTGCCAGTGGCTCTTGTCCTGTCCTGTCCTCTGGACACCACTGCGAAGAGCCTGGCTGTGTATTTACACCCTCCGTTTGTATACTTGCATACATTGGTAATACCCCCCATGAACCTTCTCTTCTCCAGGTTAATCAGCACCAGCTCTCTGGGCCTTTGCACACGTAGAATCATAGAATAGTTAGGGTTGGAAAGCATCTTAAGATCATCCAGTTCCAACCCCCCTGCTCCAGTCCCTTAATCAGTTTAGTGGCCCTTTGCTTATTCCCATAGCTCCATCTCTCTTGTCCTGGAAAGCCCAGAATTGGACACAGTGCTCCTTGTGTGGCTTCACCAGTGATGAGTAGAGGGGAAGGATCACCTCTCTTGACCTGCTGGAATCACTTCTAATGGAGCCTAGGATATGGTTAGCTCCCTTTGCTGTGTGGGATGTTGTTCTTCACTCATGTTCAACTTGGTGTTCACCAAGACCGTTGGGTCCTCTCCTGCCAAAGTGCCTAAGTGTTGGGTGACCCTGACCGTGTCATGGGGCATGGGTTTGCTCTTCCCAGGTACAAGACTTTGCACATCCTCCCGTTGAACCTCATGAGGTTCATTCAGCCCATTTCTCCAGCCTGAGATGTTCCTCTGGTGTATCACCTGCTCCTCCCCATTTGGTGTCCTCAGCAAGCATACATGTCATTAATAAAGATGTAAAACTGAGTTGGAGACAGTATTGACCCCTCATGTACACTGCTAGTTACTGGCCTCAGTCACGCTTCTCATGCTCTGGGCTTGTCTCTTCAGCCAAGTTTCAGTCCAGCTCACTGCCTGGCCATACAGGTTCTTACTGGAGACAGTGTTGAAAGCCTTACTCAGATCTAAGTAGACAGTATCCCCAGCTCTGCCCTCATCTGTCAAGCCATTTGTTTAATCATAGAAGTTTACCAGGTTGGTCAAGCACAGTAGCTCCATCACCCTCTCCCAAGGATTGGAGGGAGGCTGACTGGCCTGAACGTCCTGAGGCCTTCCTTCTTGCACTTCAAGATAGGAGTGACACTTGCTTTACTTCAGGATTTGGCCACCTCTCCCAGGTGCCAGGATTTGTCAGAGATTATGTGGAATGGCCTTACTGTGAGATTAGCCAGCTCCCTCGGCTCTCGTGGGTGCATCCCATTGGGGTTCATGGATTTACATATGTCTGGGTGGCTTAAGTATTCTCTGACCTCATCCTCCTCCACTAAGGGTATGTCTTCCTTGCTCCCAGGGTTCAGCAATAGGCCCACATGTGACACAGCTCTTCAGGCTGGGCATTTGGGGGTGTTGTTACAAGTGCAGGAATGGAAATAGCTTCATTTTGTTAGGGAGCTGGTACAGAAAATCATCAGAAGCTTTCAGGAAGGGGTTCTTGGCCATGTGAAAGCCCAAAAGCTTTGGGGTGCGTGTGTTATAAGCGGGGCTGTGGCCTGACCGCGGTGCCACCACCGTGTGCATGGCTGTAACTGCTGTCCTCTCCTCTGCAGAGACCCCCACATCACCCCACCACACAGAGCAAACCACCCCCCTCTGAGACAACGCCGCTCCTACACGACGCTGCCGCGCTGAGCCAGGACGATGCCGAAGCCTGAGCCCTGGCACGTTTCCCACTGGGACATGTCCATGCTGGGTGAGACCTGCTGTGGATCCTGAGAGTTCTCCAAAGTGAAGTCATCCTGAGCAACTCAGCGGAGACCCTGCACGCTGTGGCAAAGGCACAAGGCATCACTGCTGCACCAGCACTCCCGCACCGGGGCACTGGAGATGTCATCCAGACACTCAATACAGTGTCCAAGAATCCTTGTCCCCAAGGGGCCCGCCTTTGCTGCAGCCCCTCTCTTCCTTTGGGAATGAAGACAGCTGTTGGTTGATCCAAGAATTATTTTGCAATTTAAAACTGCCTCTTGCTAGGAATAAAAGGTACTTTAATGGGAGCCTTTTAAATAAATGAGGTTTGTATATGTAGCACTGATGGGATTTAGTGATGGTTTTAAAAGCCACCGTTCATCTCATGCGGATGGGGCTTGCTATCCTGAAGCCACTTATGGTTTTATTGCCACTTGATGTCTCTGGACTACGCCACAAATCAATTCTGGGTGCTGTCACTTCGGTGATGGCTCTTCCCAGGGTACCTGGAGCCTGCTTGGGGTTGCTCCAGCCTTTGCATGTGTTGGAGAGTACAGCGGTGGCTTCTAAAACCCCAATTCTGTGCCATGACCTTGTGTTCCAGCAGTTCCAGCCCACAGCCCATTTACTTGGCCTCTCCTTGCTTTAGATGGCTGCGTGAGATGAACCTTGCCAAAACCTCTGGTCCATCTGACTTGTCAGTCACCGTTGGCGCTGGGTTGGTCACCTCATTGCTCTGGCCTTGCTGCCTGTGCATGGGAAGGGAGCAAGCAGAAGCTTGACCTTTAACAGAGATATCCTTGATCATTAACAAAGGTATTTGTGCTTTTGAGATGGAGGAAGCGATGTGCAAACATGAAAGCAGTGATGGCCTTAGGTGGTGATGAAAATGCTGCAGATTTCTGAAATGATGTCTTGGGGGATCTGGGGCTGGATGTTAACTGGAGGTGGGTGGGCTGGGCTCACTCTTTAGTGGGAAAGAAGCCCAAAGCCCAAGGATATTCATGGCTAGCTACTCATCAGTAGTTGTCTACCACTCCTGCCTTCCCTGCTTCCAACCAGGAGCCGGGGTAGCCCTTGGGAAAACCAAAGGGGCCAGTGCTGGTGCCTCTGGCAGGGAGGGAGTAGTGCAGGGAGTCTCTGGTCCCTCTTGGAGCAGAGAACTTGTTGCACAGTGTGTGGTGTGAATGCTGTCATGGTCTGGAAACTTGTAATTGTCTAAGACAGCTCTCTAACCTTCTAGTGGGTAAGCCATACTTTTCCTCTTACACTTCTGTCCCTCTTACTGGGCAGGAAGAGCACAAGGAGCTAAAACCAATGCCAGCAGTCCCTGTGCTGGTGCATTCCCTGCAGCCCATGTCCTACAGCTGGGCTTAGGCTGTCTGATCATGGGAGCAGCCCAGGTCATGAAGGGGAATGAAGGGCAGCAGCTGCCCAGAACTTGGTCTGAGGCTGAACTTGCCTAGATGCCCAGAACACGTCTCACAGGTACAGTGGGAATAGCCATACTTGCATTATTCCTGTGACATGAGTCCTCACTGAGGGTGATGCTTAAACTACAGCTATAAACTCTCTCTGCTCTTGAACCCCAAATGACCCACCTGCAAACAGTGCCTCACAACCTACACCCTCAGCATGCGGTTGTGAAGTGGGAGCAGGTCGGAGGCACAGCCTCAGACCAGGCGCTGTGGGAGACTCAACCCATCAACACAGATAAGACCGGGCAGCGCTCAGCAAAGCTGACAGTAGATGGAAGATAACCATCCTTGGGCTCACCTGCTTGAGGCTTTAACGATGTGCTGGTGCTAACTGCTGCTGTACGGGTGAAAACAAATAAAATATTGACCTATTGCTCCTAGTGCGAGCTTCGGCGGGTTGTTTCTTTCTTTGTTCGTTGTCTTTGTTGCAGGAGCCCTTGTTTTAAGCCCCTTTCTGCACGTTGCGGTGGGCCCGGGGGGTCCTGGTGGGATGTAAGGGGGATGCAGTGTCGCGGCGCGGCCACCGGAGGGCGCCATGGCGCCGCGGACGCTCCGGGCGGCAGCGGGGTCGGGGCTGGGGTGTCCCGGGGGTACCGGCGCATCACGAAGCCGCACCCCGGGATGCTGGGCCTTTGTCTGTCCCCTGACCCCCCCTTTCCGGGCTGGGCCGATGGACACAGCTCCCCCGCTCTCGTCCTCCCCCGTCCCGAGCACCGGCGGCGCTCCAATATGGTTGTTACCGGCTCGCAGCGCTCCAATTCCATCTCCTGCGCTTCAGTCACCTTGCGGGCTGCTTGTGAAGTTTCCACCTCACGTTAAAGTGCTTCTCATAACCCCCAAGTCCTCTCCTGGCCCTAACTTGTCCTGCCTCGCTAATTCCATTTGCCTTTATGAGTGGTGTTTGGGGCTGGTACAGCACAAACGCTGTCGAAGTGCAGTCAGCACCCCTGGTGCAACAAACCCCACTGCAGAGGGGCCGGCACAGCACCTCTGTGCCCTCCCCTGCACCAACCCAGTTGAAGCCATTTACATTCTCCACCTTTACTTTATTTCCCCCACTGTGACAGAGCTGCCACCAGCTCCTCTGGAAAACACACCAAGGATAACAGCCCTCCCCATGTGCACTTGGTTAGAGTGCTTTTATAAATGGGGTATAAATGCTGCACAGGAGCTGTTCCTATTGAATCGTAGCATCCCAGACTGGTTTGTATTGGAAGGGACCTTAAAGCTCATCCAGCTCCAACCCCTGCCACGGGCAGGGACACCTTCCACTAGAGCAGGTTGCTCCAAGCCCCTGTGTCCAGCCTGGCCTTGAGCACTGCCAGGGATGGGGCAGCCACAGCTTCTCTGGGCACCCTGTGCCAGTGCCTCAGCACCCTCACAGGGAAGAGCTTCTTCCTATCTAACCCTGGTTTCCCCTCTGGCAGGTTAAATCCATTCCTCCTTGTCCTGCCACTCCCTGTCCTTGTAAAACGTCCCTCTCTGCCCATGCTGCTATTGATGCAGCCCAGGACACGATTGGTTTCTGGGCTGCAAGCGCACACTGTGGGCTCATGCTGAGCTTTTTGTTAACAAGCACCCTCAAGTCCTCCTCAGTGCTGCTCCAGCCCTATCCCCCTCCCCTGCAGCACCCCAGCCCAGCCATCCTCTGTTGCTGCAGGGCTGGGAACAGGGCTCAGACCCTCCTGCACCAGCCCTGTATTATCTCCTTCACCTGTATCCCAGTGCTCCCAGGTGCCCATCACTGGTTGTGCTGGGTTAAAACCCCTGGGTGTGAGCCCCAGCAAGTCTTTGTTCTGTTCTGCTCCTCCTTGTTGCATCCAGGTTTGCTCCTGAGCACACAGAAGCTGTGACTCTGGTCCCTTGTGTGCAGGACTCCTACAGCAGTGACAGAACCCTCCAGTGATGCAGGCTGGTGAGTGCTGCTGCTGTTGTGGAGGCTGTGGGCAGGCGCTTCTCCTGGGGCAGAGCTTAAAAACACCCAAAGTACAAAGAACAAGCGACCAACCAAGGCAATGTGTGGTGGATGCTGTTACAGTTATAGGGGTGGCACCATGGTGTTGGATGAAGGAGTGGTTTTCTCCCTGGCAGCTACAGGGGACCAAGCTTTACATGCATGCAGCTGCCAGTGTGGGACTGCAGGGCCCAGAGTCCAGGGAAGAGGTGCAGGGGGGTGGGGGGGATGATTAAGTGGATTGTGGCACTTGATTTCTCTTGTGTTTGGCCACAAAGGAGGAAATAGATGGGGGGAGGACAAGGAGCTCATGTGAGTTTTGGAGGAGAGTCTGCATGGCTTGCGCATCCCTGAGCACTGCAGGGTTTGCCTGTGCTGGTTGGGTTTAATCCTGTTCTGGGTGGGGATCTCTGCTGTGTCACATTGTGGTGCAGGACTTGGGTCCTTGATGGGTCCGTGCAACTTAAACCAGCATCCCTCCTGCGTGTGAGCTGGGCATTCAGCCTGAACCCCCCATAGCCTGTGCATGGGGACCTGCCCTGGTTTAAGCCCTTTCCCAGCCTGACACTGAGCAGAAAGTGGTGCCCGCTCCGCAGTGCTGGCGCGAGCGCTGCCCGGCAGCCCTGGCCCTCAGCTGCCCCCTGTGCTTGGCCAGCACAGCTCTGCGCAGCCATCTGCTGCCTTGGCTGCCGACCAGCCTGCCCGAGCGCTGCCCCGTGCTGCAGAGCGCTCTGCCCGCATCCCTTCCCTCGCCGCAAGCAGAGGGGCAGCGCTGGGAGACCCCGGCATCGCCCCAGCGTGAGCCGTGCCGTGGGTGCACCCTCCGTGTGTCCCAGTGCGCTGAGACCTGTGTCAAATGCGTTATCGTTGCAGGAAGCAAATGAGGGTTGCTGGGCTTTGGCAGTGAAGCCTGCTCCCAAGTGTGTGTTGGATGTTGGCGTTAAACTTTACGGTGTTCAATGCCTCATTTAAGGGGTGTGATTAAATGTCCTTCTACCTCCTGCTCCTGAGCACATGGGAGCTTAATTTTATCGCCTCACTAGTCACCAGAGTCAGGGCTGGACCGTTTCTGGATAAAAGCCTGTGTGTGCACAAGCTCCTCCAGCCAGTGCTGTCAGAAACCCTCCTGCCTTTCAAAAAGGGAAGGAAAAAACATGATGTACTCCTTGTTGTGAGCAGTTCCTTTTACTGAGGTGCTGCTGTGTCCTGGCAGTGAGAGCCACAGCTATAGCCCATTGGGATGCTCTCTTTGAGATGCTCCGTCCTTACTGCTGCGGGCATGAGGCTCCCATGCATCCCATGCCCGCACCCTGCCATCACCTTCCCATGGCAGCTCACATGTTGAGCCTTCACTCTGTTGGAGCAAACCGGACCATGGCCCCATATCGAGTCCCTGTTTCCCATGTGCATCCATGTGGGATGAGGCTGTGGGGCTCGGAGCGGTGACGTGCAGCCGGCACGGAGCCAGGGCTCCTCGTGCTCAGTGGCTCCCTGGGAGCACTCATTTTGTGGAGCAAGAGAAACAATTCCTAAAAAGGAGCAGTCAGATGGAAAATTGATACCAAATGGTGCTATCAGTCCCTGGAGGAGGAAGGTTTGATCCCCCCGCCCGTGGTTCCTGGGGGTCAGGAGGCAGGCACACAATGCTATTTTGGAGGGATTTTATAATCATTTCTTTTAAAGTTTATTATTTTCCCCTTTTGGAAGTTCATGAGTTTCCCAGACACGAGCTGGCTTCAGATTTGATGCTGATGGCACAGGCTGACGCTTTGGGTGCATGCGATGTCTGCAGGATGAAGAGGGTCTGGGGAGCTGTGCCTGGCCCTGCTCCAGCTCTAAGGCCAGGGACCATCCCCAGCAGCTGATACTGGACCAAGGGCTTTGCCAGCCCCATGTGGTCATTGTCCTCAGGCAGAGGCACTCCTCAGCAGGCCATAGCCACGCTGGGGCTGTCTGCCTGGATCCCTTTCTGCTTCACTGCTCACCCCTGTGACTGCAGATGCTGTTGTTGAGCACCATTTCTTGGGGTATCCAGCTGGATTTCTGGGCTTAATAGCCTCGCTTGTGGCTGCACTGCTCTGTTAAAACCCTACCTCCCTACACAGAACCGTAGAATGGCCCAGCTGCTTTCTGCCTTTTCCATCTGAACCAGTTTCTGGACTGGTTCATGTAGGAAATTGCCTGCTGAGCCCCTGCTGCTATGGACAGGAGGTGCAAACCGTGGGGCTGCGATGTCCTGCTGCACGTAGTGCTGAGCACGAGGCATTGCATGGGGCTGGCAGCCGCTGGGGGGGGGGAGCTGAGCTTCCAGGGAAGGAATTTCCAGCAACTGCAGATCCCATCCCCAAAGACAGCATTTCAAGGAATTACCCTCTCCCTCCCTCCCCGCTGCAGACTTCCTCTGCTTTTCCAAGTACGTCTCTGGCTTGGGGCCATGTGTAGTAACTGGAGCAGAGCAGATCCATGGGAACACTGGGGGCTGGAGGTCGGTGCTGGCCAGGTTCGCAGTGCATGCTCTTATCAAGTGCTCCCAATTAAGATGCTGAGCCCTCGCCTCTTCCTGTCTCCCTTGTGAGCACCACGTTTCCAGTGCTCTGAATGCCATGAGGAGCAGTGAAACCACCTTCAGTGCCAACACAAATAAATGGCAATTAGGAATAGTTCTTTTTTGAGCACTGTTTTAGCAAAGAGCAGTTCCTGGTGTTGGTAACTCAGTCCCTTCGCTTGTGGGACTCTGGCAGGGTTCTCCAGATCCAGATGTGCACAGGGGAGATGCCCTATGGGATCTGTCTCACCTGCATCCCAGATAACCATTTAGCTCGTGTGACCCCGTGGGGATACAGAGACTGAGACGCAGTCCCTGTCTGTCTGCAGAGAGCTGCCAAACAGCCCTGTGTTTGCTCTTCCCTCTTCTCTAGAAGATGCTCTGTGCACAGCATTGTCCTCCATGCCCTGGTGTGGGGATAGATGTGGGGCTCTGGATGAGCTCCTGAGGAGGTGATTCCCTCTCCCAGCAGCCAGGGCTGAAGGCAGGGGTCACATTCCCTCTCCCTGCCTAAGCAGCGCCCTGTGGGTGCATCCCCAGACATACCTGTGGATTTTCTTTAGCCCATAAATACTCCCCTGCCCTCCCCAGTGCCCCCAGCAAATAAATTATCTGAAGCTGCATGTCCCCATTTCAAAGCCTTGTGAAAGAAGCCAGAGGGTTTATCAGCCCTGCCTGGCTGGAGCAGCTCACATACCATCCACCCATTTGCATTTGATCTACTTCATCCTGTGTTAAGTAATCCTTGAAAGCCTCAGTGGGTTGCAGGCCCTCCGCATGCCTGTAAATCACTGGGGCATGTCACCCGCTGTACATGAGCGTGTCCCACCCCTTAGATTGAGCTGAAACACCCCCTGCCCCACAGAGAAACCAGCCCTGTGAAATCAGAAACGCAGCTTGCAGGGCTGGGATTGTCACAGGCAGTGGGGTGGGAGCACGCCTGGGAGGTGCGTATCCATGCAGGACTCAAGCACAGGGCTCTCCTTGAGGGGCAGCTCCCCAGGGGTGCAGTTTGGGGGTGGTTTTGTTGTCCTCCAGCTGCCTGCGTCTGCCTTGGTCTGGACGCTCCTGTCTCACCCCTGCCCGCATCCCCCAGGGCCTCCCTCATTCACCCATTAACCAGGCAGCTAAATGCAGTCATGGCCACATGCACCTTCTGCACCTCTCACACTGTTCTATTTACTTTCCATCACTGGAAGTCTCCTGGGACAGAGCAGGAGCCCTGCCCCATGCAGCATCCCTGCCTCGCCCCCTTGGCCCTGCCGTGCAATAGGGCTTTAAGTCATTGAGCCACGCGCAGTCAGGCTACGGGCTCTTCCCCTTGTAGTAAATCAAAGATCTTTCCCCTCTTCCCCATTGCCTCCCCCCGAAGGTCGCTATTGCTTTGCTGTGGCCTGACTTTAATGGCAAAACAAGAGCAGGTGGAGCAGGCTCTAGGTGCTGTTTAATTGTCTTTCCAGGAAAGGTTTCAGCACAGAAAGTTGAACGCAGCAGCGATCGATTCGCCTGTTGCCTCGTGCATTAGCTCAGCCTGACGCAAGCCCTGTGCCAGGTCCTACATTCAGCACAGTGGGTGGCATCCACCCAAAAGCTGCTGCCAGCCCCAGGGTACTTTTCCCTGGCTAATTGAAGCCTCAAGGACTCGGAGCTCCCCTGCCTGCGGCAGGATGGGTTTTAGCTGCGGAGAACAAATTCCAGGAGAGGATGCTGAAATAAAGCAGATGGGATGATTCTGGAGGTCAGAGCGAGGGAGAGGATGCCCTGCCAGGCACCACATGATGAAAACATCCTTACTGCTCCAGCAGCTGTCAAAAGCCCAAACAGATGAGGCGAGGTGCCCGATGAGTGTGCAGGGATCTCATTTACCTGGTAATTAATGGAAATCGTGAAACAAATCAACACACGCTCCCTGCGGAGAGCTTCATGCTCTGGTTTCAAAGCACTGGTGGAGATCAGGGTATGGCTTGAGTATGAGAGCAGGAAGTGCTGCTGTGAAGCTGAAGCAGGACTTGGTCCCCACCACCCCATCACTGATGCAGCTCCCAGTTATTTGAGGGATGTCCTTACCTACCGGCATGCTCCCCCTTAATGTGTGGCTGTGGGATGCCCAACCCTGCCTGTGCTGTTAGGGCACGGCTAATTGCTCTGTCCCATAGCACACAGGGGACTTGCGGCGCTGTCTGCAACCAGCAAAGATGCCTTGGCTTAAGGCTGCGGAGTAGGAATGAAGATGTTATGATGAGCCCCATCATCTCCCTCTGATCCCGCTCGGCTGAACATGTCACAGCTGATTTTCCTGGTCCAGCCCTCCTGCCACGCTGCACCGGCACCTACCGCCCGTGCACCAGCCCTGCTGTTGATGGGAGCGACCAGAGCTGCCCTTTTGTCTCCTGCTGTAGCGGAAGCTCATCCCAGT